CCTGCATTACATGCTTCTTCAGTCACACCTTGAAAACCTCAGCATTTTAGAATACTTTCATACATCTGTCAGACATTCATATTTACTTACTAAATGAAAACTAGACTTTTTCTTCCTTCTTCTGGCAAGACTATTAATACTAAGTATTTTGTATCTGCAAATCACCTAAAGGTCTTTCCATAACTTTATCTGCTCCTGGGGCTGAGAAGTTGTCAATACGAACTTCAGCCAGAAAAATAAGCAGATATTAACCTACAGCAAGAAAGACGATGCACCTGTGTTAAAAGATGAGAAATAATGGAGGTGACAAACGTTAAAGAGTTTGGTGAGAGCTGAACCTGGATGACACAGGCTTGATTTACACTTCAGTTGCTGGCTCCACGCGTAGAAAAACCTGTGGCAATTCCAATGTCTAGCACGAGCCTGTGTTTTTATTTTGGTAAAGCAAAACAACACATCCCTCTGCCTTCCAACAAAGAGTGAACATTGAAACCTCTAGTCCGACAGCTGTACCACAGTGCCCATTTCTGTCGTTCGAGATGTCACCACTGCAGTCTCCGCTTGTTTCCTGAAGGTCTGGCGTAACCCGCTGATCTTCAGGGACAGGGGTCTGGCAGCACAGCAGGGAATGGAAACCCCTGGGCTCTTATATCTCCCTGCACATCCATACAGGACAGAGGGCCAGCCCTGTGCCGAGCCCCAGGACGCTTCTCAATTCCTACCACGCGCATCCTTCCTCTGCAAGAGCCAAACAGCCCCCAAAGTTTGCTAAGAGCACAACAGGCATAAGACATGCAGCTCTGGAGTACAGCACCCGCACTGAACTGATTTCAAATCAATGAACAATGCAACACATTTTTAGAAGTTGAGGATGAATACATGTATACAAAATTCAGTGTCTGTATACGTTTCAGTATGTAAGAATTACTCCTGTGTGGACTAAAACATTTTGCCTGCTGTACCATCTAATGTCTCCTCATTGTATTGTATTTCTAGTCCACTTGTGCTCTTTAATAACTCCACTGCTCAATTCTATTCCCATTCAGTACAGCCCTGTAAGAGATATGGCTGGCAGAAGTTAGCCTTTTCCCTTAATCGCCCCTGGTTTTATTCCTTCAACTACCACATATGAACTTTTATTACTCCTACATTCTTTTTTTATGGGAGTTTTGGAGGAGTAAGAATGACACAGACAGCTTCTTGAGCTGAGTAAAGCTTTTCTCATCCCCCGAGCGACAGCATTTCAAAAAGTAAAAAGACAGAAAGGGATTTTGTTACGCTGGAGCTGGTTAAATACTGCAGACTGGCAAATAACAACCTTCTGTTGTTCGTCTGTGTGAGAAAAGGAAACCTCTCTTCAAATGAGGGGGAACTGAACCTTTTAAGTCTCCCCTGAAAAGCAGAACTATGAACAAGGCTCTAGAGTCATGAGAGATTCAGCAAAAAGCTTTCTTGAAAAAAAAAAATTCCCCCTTCCAGTGTCGGCCACAGAAATCTGGGACAAAGGTCCTCATGATTATTCAACAAGTTCGAGATATGCAACCTAACCAAGATTAGTGAATCATAAAAGCAGCAGCACCAAGCCAAGAAATTAAACAAGTTCAACACTGAAAACCTGCAAGTATGTGAAAGGCCAGAGCTCTTGCAAAACTCCCTCAGAAGCATTAATATTAAAGGAGAAAAAAAAAAAAAAAAAAAAAAAAAAAAAAAAAAAAAAAAAAAAATACAGCCTCAGTGCCTGATGTCTGGGCAGACAAACATTACCGCCCACAGACACAAAACATCTGCCAAACCGTACAGCCAACGGGCCAGGGCTGCTGGGGAGTCTCAGCAAAACGTTAGCAGCTCCTGTTTCTTACAGATCATAAACCTCCTTGATGATACTCAGGTAGCTCAAGACATTTTAATTTGCACAGAGACAAAGCTCAGTGAAGAGCCTCCAGAGACAAAGTACTGGCTGAAACCACGTCTAAACCAGGTCAACCATTACAGTAAGGCACTCGGAACATAACCTGTATGTTCACCTGTGAACAGGACACCCCAAGAAGATGCCAATTGCTTTACGCTGCCCTAAGAGTAGCTCAGCCTTTCACTAAAGTGCACTTCGGCAATGACCAGGCTCTAGAAATTCAGAGCAGCTTTCCTCTCCAGGGACACAGCAGTTCTTTAGAAACAGGTGAGGCAATGCCTTGCGCCACTTGTTAGAATCACTCAAGCCCCTGCCGCTGTGCCTGTTCAGGGGAAGTTTCCAACAACTCCGGTGTCGCCGTGTCCATGCCTCCCTGTGCTGGCACGGCTCCTCTGCCATGCTCCCCCTTCCTCACCCCAGCCCTGCTGAGGAAGATTTTTGTGCTCAGAGCAGCTTATGGTCATTAAGTACTGACACCCATCACGATCCAAACACCCATCACAACCCGTTTTGCAAAGAAAGGAATAAAGGAAAACATAGTTCCAGCTCTGTAAAACTTGTCCACAGGCACAAACAGGCAATGGGACTGTATGAATGGTTTGTAAGCCTTCTGAAAAAACAAAACCATAAACGTTTTGAAATGCAGTATTCTTCAAAATCTGTTTCCTTGTATCTTAAGTCAACCAGTGCCTGCGGGTCTGCACAGCTTCTACTTGAAATGAGGGGCAATCAGCACAGCTTCAACTTTGGTTGGTTGCCCTGACCACAGACCTGACTCGAGGGGTTATGTGAGCAGAGAACCCGACCAGTCCCGGCAGGCGACAGGGGAGACCAAAGCAGTGGGCATGACCAAAGCAGAGGCGTCGTGGGCTCACAGCGAAGTTCAGGGCCCTTTTGGACACAGCATCAAACCAGGGCTCGCCAAGTTGCACCTTGCGCAACTCAGGGGTTTTTTACCACCTTTTTTTTTTTTTTTTTAAGGAATTTTCCCCCCCATCCCCCTGGGGGGGCTGGGGGGGGGGGGGGCGCCTCTGGGGGGGGTTCAGTTGCC